CATCCAGGATGGAGCTGTTTGGAATCAAGAAGTCCGATAATACCGATGTATTCACTGTACTCAGTAACAAAAGTGTTTTGTTTACATTGAGCACAGACCCACATTTCAATATTACACGTCATATCTGGAAAACTACTGGAGTAAAGTCTTTGAAGCTGCTCCGTAGTTCTTAATAAACTCTTGCATGTTTGGTTTCATAGTTTCTGGTGAGACCATCAGGAACAGCTGATGGAATCCTCTCGGTGATGGTTGCAGCTGACAGTGACACACGGAGCAAAGTTTGGATTGATTAATTAATAAAATATAACAGATTGCTGCCTTTGATGCTTATTTAAAGACTAAAGGTTTTTGGACAGACAATAATTGAATTGGTAACAAATGAAGACGAACTATCGGTGCGTCAGCGTTTTTAAAGTCCCGTCGATCTGCGCTGCTTTGGCTGTGAGAGTATCGGTGCTAATTAAAGAATAATGAGCCCAAACATCAGATCTTCCACTGATGCCGACACAAAGTGTCCTGTGTGAAGTAATGAAATGATGTATAACTTATGAAACTGTCTTGTTCCTCGGTTTGCTCGTGCTTTTTTTAAGATGAGGTGAGTAAAACGTGGAAAACCCCAGTGGTCGCCCGTGAGGAGCTTGTTAGAGGCGGTTAAAGATTCATGCACACAAGCATGTAGAGAATAGGGCTTCATGGCTGGCTGCACCAAGAGACGCGTTTTCTTGTGAGTTTGTACGAGCGTGCACGTGGACAGTTCTTATCTTCCTGGCACAGGATTCCTCCTCCATCAGGGGTAATCTGGCAGAGACGGAGCAGACAGCGGCTCTGCTACCAGCGCTCTCCTCCTCGCCCGTCTCAGGCACCACCAGAATGATGCAAAAGGGTGGAAGAACGCCCTCAGGCTGGGATTGAAAATCAGCTTACCACTTCCTGAATCTTAACCTTAATCTTCACGGTGAAGTAGCTTCGATCTGACCTCAGATCAGTGCTGAACCCAGCAGTTACTCAGCGAAGGCTCAGTTGTGGTTTGGATAAAAAAGAGCGCATGAAATCCTGGAGCAGTTTTTTTTTTTCCATCTTTCCAGTCTTCAAGCAAGCGGACGACTTGAAGGCTGAAAGTTTCTACCGTGCACGTGCAGGGAATCAGCAGAAGTTTACAGATCATGAACCGACAGGACGTTTTACTCTTAAACTTGGCTTTTCTGGAAGGACTGCATGTCACCCACCGCCCGACTGTTGGACTAAAATCATATTTTTCATTTATCTTGCTGCTGTGCACACTTTCATGTCAAGATCTGTCGGCGCTTAGAGCATGTGTTGAGGATGACTCTCGGCTACTACCACATCAAACTTTAGCTGAACATCTGTAAAGTTTGAGCTTTTGGATAAGGTTGGTTGGCTGTGGTGGGACGACTCCAGAAGTAAAAGTCTTTAGATGCAAACAATAACTACGTTCTGACAGTTGCATTAAAACCCGATCACTGGTTCATGACATATTTTGCTAACACAGCAAATAATGAAAACATGCACGCAGGCATAAGCAAAAAGATCTTGACCCTTTTGTCTTCGGCGGCGGTGAAGTTTACATTTTGAGGTGCAATGATCTGAACCAAAGATACTTTATCAACATTTAGTAACGTTCTCCTGCCCGAGTTTGAATCGTTTGGTTCCTGATGATTATTCGAGGCTTTAACGTCGTCTTTGTTCTGGTTCTCATCTTGTTTCTACACATGTGCAGTGGCTGTGTGTACTTCTCTGTGCCCTGAGGAAGAGCTCGGTGTCACCGCTCCTGTCTGTGTATCAACACGTCAACCAGCAGCGTTTTATTCTCATAACCGTAATTAAAGATATTCTTGGTCTTTTAAATATTTGTGCTGATGCAACACCCGGCGCAGGAGTCCAGATTCTCTGTATCACGAAAAAACAGAAGCAAAACAGATTATTACCACTAAACTCAAACAGCTAATTAAAACCAGTAATCACATTTAAAAGATGCTTTAGAAAAACTGAACTTTCTTTAAAAGTCTTTTTTATTATGCAGCACAATACATCACTGATAATATGAAAACTAACAAACGGAACATTTATTTTTTAATATATGTTGTTGGAGAAAATCTCTCGTTCTCCGACGTTATTTACTCAAAAGATTTACTCAACGGCAGGAGGAGGTTTTTTACGTGCACGGACTCATTCAGGACAGGTTACATACTTACTGTACACGAATGAGAACCTTGTCACAGAATCGGCCACGAGCTTCGTTACCTGCTCACTTCCTACTCGTCTCAGCTCAGAGCTCAACAGACTTCAGGGGTGTCAAAGCCAGCTGCACTCTTGATTTACACAAACATGTGGTTCATGGGCAGAGATGAGACGGTGTTTTGGGAGACGGTTCAGCTTTTTTGGGGCTTCTTGTTCTCAGGGGAGAGGGGACGAATGTTCTCAGCCATAATGATAAAAACATCCATAACCTTTGACAAAAATTCCCTGAAAACATTCAGAAAACAGCAGCAGGATAATATTTTTGTTCAGTCAGAAGTTTAAAATTCAGTTCAGTTTATTTATAAAGCACCAGGTCACAACAGAAGTCGTCTCAGGGACTGAACAGAAACATTCATACGCAGCAGTCCCTCGTTTATTGTGGGGGATCCGTCCCATGAAGCCCCGCGATACGTAGGAATAGTAGAACAAGTAGTAAGTAGTAGTTTATTTTAGTGTGTGTATATATATATATATATATATATATATATATAAAGGCGTTTTAAACTCTTCCCACACACTTGCAATATTCCAAACAATATTTCTAAGCTCTAAAGCTCTAAAAGAGCACAGAACGTGAAGATTTCAACTCCCTGCCTGCTCTGCTCTTTGCCACCTACAAGCGCTCTTGGCCACGCCCACTTCTCAGCTCTGCACGCTGAACAGCTGATCAGCTGCAGCAGGAAGTTTATCCTGCAGTATGGGCTGCACAAATGAAAACTATTCGATTTTTAAAATTCATTTTAAAAAATGAGATCAATTTGTCCTCTAGTAGTCTAACCCTATAGCAGCATAACAAGCCGACCCTAACTATAGGATTCATCAAGAAAGATTAATCCCAGTCTTAAACTGGACAATGTGTCAGCCTCACGGACAGAAACTGGAAGTTGGTTCCACAAGAGAGGAGCCTGAGAACTGGAAGATCTTCCTCCCATTCTGCTTTTGGAAACTCTAGGAACCACAAGTAAACCTGCAGTCTGAGAGCGAAGTGCTCTGTTAGGAAAATATGGAACAATAAGATCTGTAATATAAGATGGAGCTAGGTTGTTGAGAGCTTTGTAGGTTAGAAGTAAGATTTTGAATTTATTCTGGACTTGACCAGATTAAACAGTTTTGTTTCCTGAGCTCAGTGAGATCTCCCTGAACAGCTGCAGTGGACCAGTCTGTGGTGTAAAGAGTTCACACCTTCATTTCCACAGACCGTGGACGACGCCATTTAAATCAGTTCTTTGGTTCCTTAAAACAAACTGTACTTGACTGAGTTGTAATTTATGATAAAAATGATCCTAAAGGTTTTCTGTCTCTAACACTCCACGATAAAACCGCTCAAACCAGAAGTCTGAACAGAAACGGTCCTGAAACGTCCCTCATGCTCAGAGGAACATCTGCACACATCTGCACACTCGTTCACTGATCTGGTCAAATCAATAATCTTTGACTGGACTGATTAACACGTTCAATGTCGAAATGTTTCTGCATTGTTCACGTATGAATCCTCAGAGTAATTTTCCTGCAGGAACGTGTTCTGATTCATGAATTAACCGTTTTGCCTTTCTGTAGAGGAGAAACTTCTGGTGATGCCGACTGTTGAGCCTCACATCAGACTTGAAGACAGAAAGTGGAGAAGGCTGTAGGCGGGGCTTAAACATTATTTATGAGGGAGAATAACAGACGTGTCTCCTGTGATAAATTCTTCAAATCCAAATGTCCAGTTCCTTTAACTGTTTATGAACAGAGTAGATCAAAACTGGCTTTTTAAACTTCTTATCCAGATTTTTTAAAGATCTTTTGAGCTCATGTAGGACCAAAATCACTGCAGGAGACGTTTGTGTTAGAAGATATAAGAAGTTTTTCTGCATCTTTTTTGCTTTATGTGACTTTAAAAATAAATAATGCAGCAAAGCATGAATAAACAGTAAGTCTTTGTCCATTGCTTATATGAAGCCATCACTGTCTATGGTGCGTTTTCTTTTTGCTATTGATTTATTCTCATTAATCTGTTAGAAAACCAATAGGAAAAACAAAATATATGTCAAAATGTGTAAACTATACATCTTGAAAAGGAATGTTTAGGTTTTTTGTTGAAAGAAAAGCTCTTTGTAGACCTCATGAAGGTGATGAATGCAGATATTTTACTAATTTGTTTGAACTAGAAGAAGCTCCATTCAACCTGAGAATCTGCAGGTGTTCTCAGAGTTGCCAGAAACCCGTCTGGTCTGCATGAAAATGCAGGTTTTGCTGTCAGTCTGCGGACAACACAGCAGTATCACAACCTGGCAACCCGACCGAAGACTCCAGGAAGCCGAGCGCAGTCACATCTGGCTCTGCTTCATCTTCTTTTGCTCAAAACGAGCGCAGCGACCGCCTCAGCATCAGAGGCAGCTGTTTTTTGATTGTGTAAAATGTGCTCAGCTTGACGTGCACGTTAAAAATATCAAACTGATGCTGGAAACTGGAGCAGAGGAGAAGATTTAAGAACTCTCGTCCAACTGCCACAAAGACGGAGAAGTCACTGCGGGCGGAGCAAACGGGGAGTCTGACGGCATTAAAACAAACGGACTGAGTTCTGTGATGCTGGAACCACAGCGGTGACTGGGTTTACTGGTCTGGGTTCTGGGGCCCAGCTCTCCTGCTCTTGCTGCTAGTCTTTGCATGTCCCCCTTCTCTCTGCCTGCGTGTTTGATGGAGCCTCCATCTCCTCGGTGTGTGCGTAGCTAATAGAGCTATTTTCCCTGTGATTGCAGCAGGTCAGACCCAAAGACAGTTGAAGCCTAGTGTCCCCCCTCTCCTCTCCGTCACCTTCCAGATTACAGGTAGGTGATTTTAGCCTCTCCCTGATGAATGCCTCACACTTCCTGTTCCCTACTTTACGTTCCCTTGGCTGTCGTCTCTCGTCTTTTGACCTCTAATTTCCTCCAGCTCTCCTCTCTTCACCTCCACAGTTGATCACTGTTTACTCCGCCCTCGCTGTGTTTGCTGTGCTCTTGTTTCTCCCGTCTCCTCCTTCAGTCTCATTTCCCTCCATCCGTTTTGTTTTGTTAGCTTCTTTATCCTCTAATGCAGTTCATTTTGTGACTCCTCAGAGCGCTGTACAAAAGGAAGTGATTAGGTTCAAATCCACTTCCAATCAATTTGATTCTTATTGCAACACAATGCAGTCACACAGGACCATACAAACTGCCACTTAGTAAAAATACACACGTAAGGAAGGCAGCTGATTGAGAAGAACCTTCACTTCAGTGCAACCCACACTCTGAGCTGCAGGTTGGAGACAGTGGGAAGGAATGACTCATTTTTAACAGGAAGAAACCTCCAGCTCAGGGTGGGTGGCCATAGAATCAGCTGGGGTTAAAGAGAACAAAAAACATTTTTTTAAATTTGTTGGTAAATGTTCAGTTTTTCTTTGAATGTTCAACTCTTGGTCCACGCGGTTGGGATGAAGCGTCCTGGTGGATTAAAGTTTACTCACGTTAAGTTCTGCTCCTAAAAACCCTGTTAAGACAAATGGCTTCAGGTGCAAAGACATGCGCTGCTGCTGATCCTGCTAACGGGACCCGTTTGGTCCTTCACTCCCACCGGTCCAACGGATCAACGTGGACCTGTAGTAAAGCTGAGCTCACTGTGATTGAACTTTTCACTTTCACCTTCTGCTCAACATAAATTACAAAGGAAACAGGAACACACTGGATTTTTTAAATTTTTTTGTTTAGAGGGGATGAGCAGTAGATGTGTCAGAAAAGGAAGCGCGTCAACGGGGAAAGTCCAGCTGGTAAACATCACAATGGTTTCATAAATTCTCTGAATTCATCCTTTTACATCTCAAATATTGAAACATTAATTGCTGCCTGTCCTGAACAGGAAAGAGACACGAACGCTGCAGCTCAGTCCAGGTGTCGGGCCTGTTACTAAAACATCAATAAACTGTTTATTAACAGCAACTATCACAACTGTGGGGAGTTTAATCTATTCGTCTCTCCGTGGTTTCAGTTTGGAGCTTTGGAAACAAAAGCCAACCCTAACTATAGGATTTATCATAAAGTCTTAATCCCAGTCTTAAACTGGACAATGTGTCAGCCTCATGGACAGAAACTGGAAGTTGGTTCCACAAGAGAGGAGCCTGAGAACTGAAAGATCTTCCTCCCATTCTGCTTCTGGAAACTCTAGGAACCACGAGTAAACCTGCAGTCTGAGAGTGAAGAGCTCTGTTAGGAAAATATGGAAGAATAAGATCTGTAATATAAGATGGAGCTAGGTTGTTGAGAGCTTTGTAGGTTAGAAGTAAGATTTTGAATTCTATTCTGGATTTGACAGGGAGCCAATGGAGAGAAGCTAAAACTGGAGAGACATGATCTCTCCTTATTGTCTTCGGAACTTTAGCAGCAACTTTTTGGATCAGCTAAATTGTTTTTGGAGAGATTTTGATCATCTAGATGACAAAGACTTACAAATAGTCCAGCCTAGAAGTTTTCCTCCTTCCAGTTTCTTGTGATTTTTCTTCATCTACCCATCTTTATAATCTTCCCTGCGTGTTCATCCTTGTTTCAAATTTCTCTCGCTTTGAACAAAACTGTGGTAAAAATAAAAAACCCTCCAATAAATGCTTCAGATATTGATGATGGCAACACTTTGCGAGCACTCTGCAGCTGTGGCGTTTTACACGTGTAACAACTTTGCGTGAGCGCTGCAAACATTTTGATTTCTGTGATGCGGGGACGGCGTCTCTTCGGTCCATGTTTAGTGCTGGTGCCAAATCAAAGACGAGGCTGAACATTATTACAACAAACTTTTCTGTTTTCTGTTGAAGACTTGGAGTTGAGAGGAGCCTGGAAGAACAACTTTGTTCCTAAACGATCAGAATAAGGAAAGTGAGACACGAGACTTTTTCAGCCTCTGTGGACTGAGCTGCTCTCACATCGGGGACTTCTCTCCTGCGTTGTCAGTTTTATATGAGAGGAACGCGAGCTCGCTGCAGAGCCAACTACAAATGGACTCGCAGAGAGGAAGACGCACACATTTCCTTTTGTCTTCATCCAGTCTGGAGTTCCACTGGTCCCCAGTTTAATATTCATAAAGGCACCAGTGTAAGGACTGAAGTCTCCCCTGAAGCAGATCAACAAACTTCCTGTTTGACTTTCAGCTCGTGCTTCACAGGGAACTGAACTTTTAAAAACACGGCTTGTTTCCAGTTTTCAGGGAGTGACTTGACTCCTGACCGTGTGATGTGAAACTCCTCGATGTGCTGCAGGACCAGTCACGATGATGGAGACGAGGCGCCTCGGCTTTAACTCGTGCAGAACATTCACTGTAGGAAGGTTTTTAATACGGAGCTTTAAAAAAGATCAGTCTGCGCTCAGATTCTGGATCAGCCTTTATTTATAATTCAGCATCTGATGCTTCTAAATGAATGTTTGTACAGGAGTTGGACATCCTTCTCCAGCTACAACATCATGTTCCTGCTTCCACAGCAGACGGTTCAGTTCAGGCTTCTTCTTTTCTGCAGCGGTTTCTAATTAAAGAGCCCAAGTCTTGTCGCAGGTTCTGATGAATCATAAACTGATTACAGGCTCTTCTCCTGAAGCACACGAGATTGTTTGATGGGAAAAAAAAAACACTTTATATTATTTATTAATGTTATTTATTAATGTTCAAAACAACATTTACAGTTAGCACAGTGAAGCCCTGTGTGGGGAGTGGTGGTTCAGAGGTTGGAGAAGGTGGACCTGTAATCTGAAGGTTGCCAGGTAGGCTCCCCGGACTGACATCAAAATGTGGGTGAGAAAGCTGAAGCACCCACACCTGCCTCCACCCTCATTTGCCCCACTCTGGGCCCTTGAGCAAGGCCCTCAACCCCCACAGAGGGCTGCGGTACCTCGGTGTCTGTTGGTGTCATCTCCAAGAAGAACATCCGATGTAAAACCAATCACCAAGTCTTCGTGCGAGTTAGTTCACTGTGGCGACGCCTGAAGAAGGAGCAGCCGAAGAATAAAAAAATAGTGAAACTTTATATTCTTGGGGTGTTTTGCATGAGATTTGATGTTTTTCTCCTGATTTTTTCCAGAACGTTGCAACAAATCCATCAAAATTGTCTGAACGTTAGAAAATTGCCTGCACGAGCTGTAGCGGATCTCAAGGTTGGGTTTGGAGCCACGTGACGGATGATCGCGTGCGAGATGGAGACGGTGCTTTCTGGTTGTTTTGGCCGTTCTGCTCTTGTTTGTCCTGACTGCAGTTTGTTCAGGTGTTGTAGTTTCCGCTGCTCTTCCATGCGTCGCAGGTTGAACCATCTGAAAGCAGCTGCAGGCAGAAACTGACGCTCCAGCTTTTTAAGAGCTAACGTTTAAAGACGTGCACGGTTCGACCTGCTGGCCTCCTTAGATGAGGTTTATTAAAAACCTTCTGACCGTGCATGTGGGTGTTTGTAACGGGGACTGCATCGACTAATTGATTTGAATTTTCTGATCCAGGCTTGATGTTTGTTCAGGGCAGGATCTTTACAAACTTTTAGTTTCTTGTTTAATTTGTACACAAAGTGCAAACAGGCGCCGCAGCGAAGCGTCTTCTGGCTCTTTACAGCACGTCTCTTTAGATTTTTGTATTTGTTGCCGCCCTGACAAACACATTTTTAAAAAGCCTTACAGCATTTTTATTTAATATTTATTTATTTAGAGATGCGAGTTGTTTTTCTGATTCTTGTCCCACGTCTGGACGTTTTGTTTCCAGGCAACATGTGCGGTGAAGATGGTGTCTGCGTCTTATTCGTGTTTCCGAGTGCTCATTAGCTCGTCAGGATGAGTATTTCATGGACTCCAACGTAGAGGAGCCTTTCATGTCAGAGATGTTGGTTTAAATGTCAAACCTGCTCAGATGTGAAGGTTGTTCAGTGGAGGAAGCAGAAATCAATGCACCTTTGGATCAGAGATCTGGGTTCAGCTCCAGCGTTCCAAATAAACAGTTTATTTTAATGTGACTGTTTTATTAGGTTTGATTGTCAATGGGCTGCGGTGGATTAGTGGTTAAATGTCACAGCCTCATAGTTCTGGGGCTGCTGATTCAAGCCCAGGTTGTGTCAGGAAGGGCATTTGGTGTAAAACAGAAGCCGTATCTTTCATTCAACCTTTATTTCTACAGGTTAGTCTCTTTGAGCCTCCAGGACTCATTTACAGGAGAGACCAGATTCATGTGACCCCTGCACCAAGGAGCGGCCGAAGGAAACGTACTTTATTATATTAGAGGTCATCGAAAAGATTAAAACTGTTGGTCTTTTATTTCTTCTAAAGGTGTTGTCTCACTTTTCTGTGACTGCTGCTGATTAGTTGGTATTTGTGAGGGCATCTTCAGAATCACATAAAGGGTTAAATCAGGTCATCTGGACCGTTTCTTTTTGGGAGAAACGTCTCGTTTTTCATTGAAACACTTCATCAGCCCGAGGCCTGCCAACAGGATCGGTCTTACAAACAGAACCTCCTTGAAAAACGGTTTTGCAAGTTTTGAACATGTAAAAAAAAAAAAATGAAGCAAATTCTCTCAAAATGTTATTCACATAGTAGTTGCAGGTGTTTCAACCCACAGAGCTGTAGTTTGATAGTTGATAGACAGGAAACATGTCCAGGTGTTATAAAAACACTAAAAATTAAAAGATGAGATTTTGAAAAACGTCCAAATCCTTAAAGTGTACACCCTAAACGTTGAGGCAGCTGCTGAGGTGAGTGTGATGTGGGCAGTGAAATAATGTGCACAGCCAAAAGTGCATTTGTGCAAGATGTGCACACAAAAGTAACGTGCGCTTTCCAAAAACTGGTCACTCCGTGTGGCCGCACGGCTCGCTGCTCACTTTAGTTTCTTGCAATTTCCAGCCGTCAACTCGCCTCCAGCTGTCGCAGTGAGACGAGTAGAATACGCCCAGATGAAGAAACTGGAAGTAAAAGTTGAAACATTGTTTCATTTTTATTTTTTAATGTCACAAGAGGTTTTCAGAAAAAAAATCTTGTTTTATTGTAAAGTGTTACACTGGGTTTGGCCTTTTTCCCATTTAGGTGAAAACATGCAGGATAAGATTTACCAAACTGTGACCGTTTAAATGTGATGCTCCAGAACCAGAACCAGACGAACGGGTCTCTGCTCTGAAGAGAAATCCGCTGCAGTGCCGGTCAACTTCCACATTTCCTCAACACAAACATCCGATGTGGGAGCACAAAGAGCACCGGTCTACCCGACACTGATACAAGTCACATGCATGAAAAGGCACTGGGTCAGCATCAGGACCGTCTGTGTTTGGGCTCAGTGGACATGTGGACTTGGATGTTTGTTGCATGCAGACGTCACCTCTGCTTCTACGTGGAGGTTCATCAGCAGGAGCTCAGACATGTCAGTTCAGCGCCATGAGAGGAAGTAGATGCCAAATCAGACCTAATGGAATAAACATGAGCCAAGATGTCTCCACTGATCCACCGTTTCAGATTCCACCTCTGCTGAGAGTCGAGGCAGAGCTCCACGTCGCTACCAGACAATCTTTGCTAATCCATCATCCCGACATGCTAACAGGGAGGGAATAAAACAAAAGGTTGATAGTGTCTACCTTACAGCCCCCCCCCCCCCCCCCCCCATCCCACCCCTCACCCCCCAGTTTTGATCTGCTCTCTGCAGGGATGTTTTCATGCCAGGAATAATCACGTTTGCCTCTTGTTCCCATTGAAAATGTTTTAAAATCTATTTTTCCTCCTGCTTCCTCTGTTGATGTGTGCAGCGTCCCGCCCCGTGGAAAATCAGCTGTGCAAGGGTCCGATCCCAAACACATCCCAGCTCTGCCAAATCCCCTGTCCTATCGACTGCGAGGTGTCACCCTGGGGGGCCTGGGGGCCGTGCGTCTTTGAAAACTGTGATGATCAAACCGGAAAGAAAGGTACGTTTTCCACCTCGTGGTCTGTTTTCTACTTTTACTTCTCTTCATGGCTTCACAAGAAACTGTACCAGTGGGTTCATCTCTGGAAGGAGTTGCTCATCTCGTCACGTTAAAGTGAAAAAAATATTAGTTTGAGATCAAAACGTGGGAAACTTTAATGAATTAATTTGTATCACTGAGCTTTCAGAACAAGTCGGTCATAAAACCAAACTGACTGAAGGGAAGAAATGTTCATTGTTTACTTAAAAGAGCCGCTTCACATCAATGAACACGGGTTGACCCGGTGGAAGGACCCGGTTCAGCCCCGGGAGCTAATTATCGTCTGTAGTCCCGGGAAGGTTGATGGTCAAACAAATAACAGGAAGGAGATGAACTAAAGTACAGAAACAAACAAAAGCTGACGGCGCACATGCACTGTTAGGAGTGATAAAAATTAAATACAAATACACTATTTAAAAATACGCACAGGTTTACAGTAAAAGCTGCAACAAGTGGAGGATTTATATTTCTGCCCAAGTATAAATGATGATGTCATCTGCATACGTTTGGATATTTGATAAGTTCAACGTATTAATCCTAAATGTCCTGATGGTGATTGTTGAGACCTTCTTATCAAGTGAAATATGAAATAATTTAATCTTTTTAAACAGACGGGTTGATCAGGCTCGTCCTGCACTGAAAGGCTGATTGGACACATTTGAGCGTTTTTCAAAAACCGTTGCGTCATTTTCTGAAGACTCCAGAGTAAAACTAAACAAATTATTTTACATTTGAACATTTGAGATTAGAGCTGAACTGGAGAGGTGGCGCAGAGGTTGGAGCAGGTGGGCCTGTCATCGGAAGGTCGCCCGTTCAACTCCTGCTACGGCAACATCAAAATGTGTGTAGGATAGGTCAAGCGCCCACACCTGTCTCCGCCCTCATTTACCTCCCTCTGAGCCCTTGAGCAAGGCACATAACCCACACCATCTGCTCCCCCGGGCGCTGTAGGTGGCAGCTCTCTGCTCCACACAGAGGGCTGTGGTTGCATCATGAAGGACATCCATAAAAAATGTCCAAGTCTTCGTGCGTCTTCTGTCCCTGAAGGAGCAGCTGAAATAAAAATAAACTCATACTGAGCACAATATAAAAAGAAACCGTCATCTGCCAACGAGCACAGAGTAACGTTTTTATTAACCGTGAGTTAAAAACAATTCTGTCCCAGGCACACGGAGGTAAATATTTCTGGTGAAATGATGCGACTGAAGATGACGTCTTTCCTTTCTTTGATGACCTACAGGTTTCAAACTTCGGAGGCGACGGATCACCAACGAGCCGTCGGGCGGTCCGGGGAACTGCCCGCACCTGGCGGAGGCGATGCCGTGCGACGAGCCCAGTTGTTACAACTGGCAGCTGCTCGGTCTGGATGAATGCGTTCCTGATGACGGGAAGCCGTGCGGCCCCGGCACTCAGCCGCCGCAGGTCCGATGCATCAACAGCAACGGTGAGCGGAGAGAAGCCAGTCGAGCAGATCACGTGATGTTTGCAGAGCTGAGCGGATGCAACTCATTCCTCCTGTTTGTTGACGGGAGCGCCACCGGGTCGGGTCGTATTCTTCACTACAGAACACCCTCAGGTTGCGTCTCTGCTCACCCATCAGCTCCTCTGTGGTTCTGCTCATCCTTTATTAGCTCTGTGAGGATTCTTCTTCTCTCCGTTTCAAGCGCTCCTGCTTTAACACTCGTTTGACTCCGTCTTGCCGCCGCGCTCCATCTCATCACGGTGCTCCTCTCTTCACGCACAGCTAAACCCAAATCGCATCGATCCTCTGGAGCCCGGAGTGACGGAGCGCCTCCTGCTCTGCATCTTTCATTCTGCTCTTTATCGCGTGTCGTCGTGACAGGCGGGCAATCATGTCTGTTAGCAAAAGATGACGAGAACCACTGGACAACTCTGAAGAAACAAACATCGACAACTGATTAACTTTTGAAGTTTAATTAAGTTATTGAGCCACTGAGGGTTGGTAGTAGCTGAGAGTCATCCCAAACACAGACTCTGAGTGCTAACTTTTAAATGTAACTTGGCGGGTGATATGCATTCCTCAAAGGAACGCTCCATTCGTTACTTCAGGCGTTATTTGTAGAGGAAGAGTTGTAGAAATCCATTTGTGTCATGGTCTTCACAGGACAAATGGAGATTTGATGAATACATCGTGTTGTTGTTGTTGTTTATTTGTTGTTTATGGGTTGCAGAGCATGTTTATTGACAAATCTCATCCAGTTCCAGAAGTCTCCTGTAAGTGTTGGTTTTATGATTAAACACGGGGACTCTGTCCTTCTGAGAGATAAAAAATGGAGATGTTGAGACGCAGGAGCAGCAGAAACTGTTTTTCTCCGTGTGACTTCGGCTGATTGATCTCCCTCCCAGTCGGTCCCTCATCTGATGAAAATTGATTTGTTCTCTTTGGGTTTTCGATCGGCTTTTCGCCTCAGCGATTTTTCACTGCGGCGTTGGCTGCGTCTCCTCTCCGAGCGGGTCCCCAGTCATAAAGGAAAAGGCCACGGAGCCGGAGCCCAGACAGCAGGCGAAGGTCGATACAAACGTTATTGAAACTGGTTATTGATATTCCCAGAGCCGACTGCCCGGCCACTTAGGCAGCGAGCCGCTCCTCCTCTGCATGCCGAGCGCCGGGAGTTCTGTTCATTCATGGTTTTTCTCTGGAAGCCTGAGAAAATGCTCGGGTCTCTTGTCGTTTCTTATTTTCATGCTTTCCCGTTTCAGTCATGACCGGTTTGCTGAACATCTGTCAAAGTGACGTCTCAATATGGAGTCAGAGTCTGACTTCTGAAGTTTCTCCTTGCCTTGTAATTTCAATTGAACGGTTTAATTTTTTTCTGGGCATTGCTTAACCGCTTGATTTTTTTTTTTTGGCAGTACATGAAGCAACACGGACAGATATGTGGGTTAATATAATCCACTTACGGCTGCTGGGAGCTCATCAATAAAACATGAACAATGATGCAGGAACCTTATGGGAGGTTTTCTTGTTCTGTGCCTTTTTTAAAGGTGATATTCTGAAGCCAGCGGTCTATTCATATGAATATTTTATAGAAAATTCATATTAAATCACTGTAAATTCAAAATAAGATGTGAGATTTTTATGTTTTCACAAGGAATTAAAAAACAACTCCACAGGTAAATCCAGGGTCAGCCTAAAAACATCCAACCTGTCGTTGAGACTTGCGTCAGCAACGAGTTGATTTTTGAAGCTGGAGTCGTTAAACTTGAGGCAGAACCTCAGAACAATCCAGCTTGTTCTGACTGAGGACCATGGCCTCAGACCTGGAGGTGCTGATTCTCATCACATTGTTGAAAATGAATCAGGATACTTCCTGGGGAGTCCAGAATGTCTGATTCTTCTGTCGCTCATCAGTCGCATTTTAAATTCATAACCCTCTACACATTCTGACTCGTGTGACGTTTGTGATTACATTCAGAGAACATTGGTTTATCAACATTTTTGGACCAAGTTCAACATTCCACCGACTCGAGCTCGAGGAGCTGCAACTCACCTCAAAGACGAGGAGCTGATGCTGCGTGAACGTTTCTGGACATGTTGGACATGTCCCTCACAAACACCGTGGCTGATCTGTGCCCAGCTGTCGCAGGCTAGTGAGACACAAGTTGATTTTATTTCTTCTTAAAGCACAGCGGACCCATTCAGGTTCATAAACATCAAATACAGAACAATCCACCGTTTATGTAACGTGTTTGTAAAAGAAAATCAAACGTCGTTTTATTACAACGTACGATTCTGTTTTCCTCTTTTCAAATTTTAATGAATTTATCTTCCTTTAAAAAAACAACAAGTGACTCAGATTCTGTTATCGGAATTATTCTAAACTTATTTACCTGTTTTACCTGAAGAGACCGACGGTTTGAGAGTCTCCACATGTCCATAGATCAGAAGCAACACGGCCCGTCACGACTTTCAGCAGCTTCTTCTGCTGAACCCGTCACGACTTTCAGCAGCTTCTTCTGCT